TATATATATATATATATATATATATATATATAATTTTTGTTTGAATTTTATTTTATTTTTATTTTTTAAAAGGTAGAGTGAGGTGTCAAAGGGATAAAATTGAAGTGTGTTTTTATTATTTATTTATTTATTTATTTTTATTTTTTTGAGGGGCTTTCTAGTGAGAAAAGGAAAGCAGTTGGCCTACCCTGATGTTTTTCTTCTAATTTTTGTTTGGAATTTAATAGTGAGGTACTATAAATAATTGGTTTTGACGGTTAAGTTATGAGGCATTTACATAAATGCCACCCAATTCCTATGTATTTACATATGCATCTAACGGCTATAATTTACTTCTTTGCATTAATGAGACCCAAATCTTCCATATCACATTAAGAATGTCACCATTTTAATCTTTTCGTGGCATATATGTAAAAATTAAAGTTTAGGTGTTAATTATGCAAATAGATTGGAGTTGAGTTCTTACTTGATCAGTTCTTTCAGGGGAAGATGAGTATAGAGAAGGTGGGATCTTTTTGTGTTTTTATTTATTTTTTTTTATTTTTTAGCTCAACGACCAAATTGGTTAGAAAAAAAAAAATCATTTATTTTTTAAGGTGGATTTACATATATACCACTTAAATTTTATGTATTTACAAATTTAACAGTTAAAACTTTCATATTTACGTTTAGAACATTCAAAAATTAAATAAGGGGAAGCTTCGTCAGCATTGATAAGGATTCATATGGTGGCTTTGTAATATATATATATATATATATATATATATGCATAGATATTAATGATTTTAATTTTGGTAAAAAAACTTACCCAGAATTGCAGTAATAGAAAACGATTTATGTGGAGGAGTAATTAACATTTACATAATGTTATGTAGGTTGTCAGTGAAAAAGAAAACAATCAGAGAAATAATTTCATTATCTTAAATTTATTTTGAATGTGAAAATAACAAGCTTAGAAAGGCTGATAGGAATTTAAAATAAATGTTTAATAAGTAATCACAACGAATAAAATTGTTAACGATCCGATTTCGAGCTGAGTTGGGGTCGGTTAAAAATCAGCTAAAAAAAATTCGATCCAAAATTTTGGCTCGTATATCGACTAATTTGTTTCGATCCGATCTTGATCCGAGCCAATATTCGAATCAATTTTTGACCGATTAACAATTTTCAAGATAAATTCACAGCCCTAGCATCAAACTAAATAATGAATTTAATTTTGACATTTTTGTTCCTTAAAGCTATCAAATAAGTCTCTGAGAGAGGAGGTCAAAAGAGCATTAAGAAACTAATTAGAAAGAATTGCTTATGGAAAATAGATGATGCTGACGTTTCACATGACCCATGGTGCAAAAGAGAGCCTCTCCTAGCTGCCCATCTCCACCATGCACTTCTCATGAACTCAGAACTGACTCTTTACATGAAATAATTTGTAATCACAGTTTATAAAATTGTCGAAATATTTCACGGGCTCTTTAAATTAAACCTTAAATAATTTTCGTAGAGATTTATTAAAGCTCAATTTTAAAATAATCGGGTACTATTTTCATACTCTTATAAACTCAGGGATTAAAACGATTTATATAAATTGTCCGGAATTATTTTGATACTTTACTCTTTTCTACGTTATTTACTCTTAGCTGCTCACTCAAAAACGAGAAAACTCCTAGCTGCCCTATTTCATGCCTTCTCTACCATGCACTTCTCATGAACTCAGAACTGACTCTTTACATGAAATAATTTGTAATCACAGTTTATAAAATTGTCACGGACTCTTTAAATTAAACCTTAAATAATTCGCGTAGAGATTTATTAGAGCTCAATTTTAAAATAATCGGGTACTACTTTCATACTCTTATAAACTCAGGGATTAAAACGGTTTATGTAAATTGTCCGAAATTATTTTGATACTTTACTCTTTTCTACATTATTTACTCTTAGCTGCTCACTCAAAAACGAGAAAAATTTGCGTACGTAAGACGCACGTCAGGTAGATTATTCAGAGGGTATTAACGGTTATATCCACGTTATACCTCTTATAACCTCTCTGTAACCTACTTTTAATCTACAAATATATGAAAACAGAAGCGTGAAACTTACTAGAAGGTAAATATAGGTTACAGGAGATATAACGCAAATATAACCCCCCAATACCCTCTGAATAACCTATCTGACGCACGCAGTGTTGTGTAGTCATACGTCTGCAAAGTTTTCTCCTCAAATACACCATCAGCAAAATATATAAATAAATATGTAAATAGATAAAGGTCAACCGCGAAATTTCACCCCTGAGCTCATGGTGATGGGTAATTGCTCCACGTTTGCTATATAAAATTTGCTTATTTGCTTATTTGCTTGGCTTCTGTGGATGTAAAAACAATATGAAGCTAACACAGCGAATAATTTTTAATTATTCTAGAACTCTAATAATAAGCTCAATTAGTGTTTATTTATGCCTTTTTAATTAAACAATCGAATAAACTCGAAGACTGATGTAAATATTTAATTGATAATGAATGATGTTAGTGTTTTGAGTAATTTATGAACGTAAAGTCCAATTAAGATACTAGATTTATTCAATATGATCTTAGTGTAAAAATCATACTTTGTTGAAGTAGATTATTAATTTAATAAGACCAAATTAGTTGATTAAGCTTGTTAAAATCTTTGTTTAGTTAACGTTTAATTCTATTAAAGCCTCATTTTTAACATGAAAAATTTATTCATTAATAGACTTGGTTAAACAATAAGTTATATTGACAGTGTTGCTCATTAACAGAGAGCTAAAAATTCCAAGTTCAGAATGAACATGTCCAATGCAATTTTTTTTTTACATTTGGTCTTTTTATTTTAATTGAGGTTTAATGATAATTAATTTAAAAATTAACGATTAAGCCCTAACATTGTGCTTAGTAGCTTGTTGCTCGTACTCTGTACAGGTTTTTCTGCTGCCTTATAATTTTGGGTTAGTACTCTGCATAAGAAATTGGTCAATTATCGTTCATGTCGTCACTACTTGCTTGCAATGCCTTACTTAACTCTGTGACTAAAACTACCTCACATAAATATCATGGACCATTTTGACACTCTTTTATATTATGATAATACTTCAAATATATTGGACTTGCTTCGAGCAAACTATAATGCAAATTTTATTTATCCAATAAATTTGATATGCATCCTAACTAAATTTTACTCCTATAATTTCTTCCCCCCACCCCAAATAAAACTATCACTACCTAAACATATGAAATGATAAATTAAATTTAAAAGTTGGCACCTAAAAGAAACCAACCACAACCATTGCGTCTAGAAAAAACAATCCACATATAGATAGCCTAATGAGACTCTCAACCATCCTGAGCAGAAATGGATTCATTTTATTTACATTAACTATTAGTAAATGGGAGGCTAGCGTTATCTAAAGAACCTTAGCCTCCGTAGCTTCCATGCTTCAACTTAGTATAAATTCACAAAAGAAAAAAGTAGCATTTTGAACCTTACAAGTCATCTCACCGCATTCAATAAATATAATAAACGTTGAACCCTAAAACCATCTTAAGAATAGATAATTGTCGAGTATTCAAACAGGTCTGTTTCGGCTCATTTTCGTGTCAGCGGATTGGATGATATTGCGCCGATACTCTTTTGGGAGGTAGCTTACGGAGGATGTACAGAACAAGTGCTGATGGAAGTATCTCAGTAAGCTGTTGCATCAATTAATCATAAACTCACTCACTTGGAATAAGAATTAAGTAAAATAAAGTTGGAAGTTACATTTATAACACTGGTATAAAAAATCTATGCATGAAAATATGTATTTCACTTTTGAGAAGGTAGTGATAAGGGGTATTTTTGATGTGATGCCAAAGATTCGAGTGTTATGTAAATATTAAAGTTTAGCGGTTAGATTAGTAAATGTATAAAAATTGCATGGTGTGCATCTAAATTCATCTAAATTTATTCAATAACTTACCGTGTAATAGAAGAGGTCTAGAATAGGGTGATCCATAACTTCGAGAGATAACTCAGATTCAAATGCAGATATCACCACCTAAAGTTGTCGGTAGAAGCAAAGCGCAAGTAAAAATATAAAAATAGCAGAGTTGATGATATGAAAGAGTGCTGCAATCTTCTCATAAAGTATGAAAAGAAATATTTTGTCTTTAAATATGACTAAAGAGAATTTGAATTCTGCCTGAAAACTCACCACAGCACTTCTAATTAGAAAACAAGCGAAGCATATAGCCGTTACAGACCCAACCTGAAATAGCAAAGCTTGTGGTTTAAATCCGATTGGAAATTTCAAAAAAGCATCTCATATTATTAAAATTATAGTTGGAAAAGCTTTGCAGAATAATCCTAGAAAAACTTTAATGAATGCATTTTGAATTTTAAGAAATCTTAACGTTGCCAACAGTTTGACTATAAATAAATGAAAGGGCATTTACATACAAAGCACCCAATTTATATGTATTCAGGTATCTAACATCTAAACTTTTCTATTTACATTCATAAAAAATATCACTATTTTAACCTTCAAATAATGAAAAACATCTTTCATGCATACACAAGCACCACATATGTAAAAAATAGAGTTTAGGCATTAGATATGTAAATACATAAAAAAGGAGTGGTATGTATGTAAATCTTCCATAAATGAATCTTTGAGTCCCTATTAAACGATCATGGAGAAAAACACAACCTCGTATAGTTTCTTCCTTCGACCCTTTGACTCGATTGGGAATCGCCTCAACATGAGAAAGAGGCTAACAAAATAATAATTTGAAAAATACTGTAATTAAAATTCAATTATAAGAAAAATAAGCATGTCCCAGAAAGTTGAGAAAATTTTTACCGTCCTCCGTAAACCAGGAAACCAAGTGCAGCAATCAAGGATACCACTGAAATTGCAAAAAAACAAAACAAGGATATCCTATAGATTGATGAATAAAAATAAACAGTGCAAATTAAAGCATTATAAGACTTTACCTGCTATAAAAATTTTGCCGATTTCCTCCACAACTTTAGCATCGTCTATCCATAAGTATATCCATATACAGATCTGATAGAAAAGTAAAAATCTCATAACACCAAACTAGGATAGCCACTGTGATTTTAGCACATTAAATTACTTTCTTGTAAAGTCGATCAAGCATCTGAGAATAAATTTAAAGTGTCTGTAAGCCAATAAAAAAAAATGAAAAAAAGACAGTAAACTTCTGCAGAAAATGGGGACGTTTGAATTAGAAGAGAGAATCATAGCAACATCCTTCTAAGGTTATAATAACACAAGTAATTTAATAGATGACACCCTGAAGATTCAAATAATCAAATGATCTTTAAAACTGTCACGGGATCAATAGGGGTCCTCCTATTTATTAAAAAGGAACAAATACCATGTCAAAAGTACACTCAAAATTGAATATAATACATTACAAATAAAGGGAGCCTTCCATTTAGTATAGTTCTACCCTAAAACTCCCCCTCAAATTAGAGCATATATATCAGTTACCTCTAACTTATTAGATAATTAAGGGAAAGAAGACAGAGTCTTGGCAAAATTATTAATTACTTAATCTGAACTAAAAAGTGTGAGTGACCGCCGTCATGGAGAGCACATCGCCTGACATAAAATGAAAATCAATTTTAATACATTAAGTTTGTTCATGAAAATGCAGGATTACTGGCATGATTATCATAGTACAATCTCACAGGATAAATGTTTGATGAATCAAACTCTCCAAAAGAGTCTTTACCCATATCATTTCACATGTAGTTTGTTCCTCATTTTTCCAAGTAATTATATTACCTCCAAACATACAATATCATGAGGTTGACTTCATATCTTCAATTACACTTGTATAATCAAAATAAGAGAATGTTTCATCATTCAGATGCTCAATCTTAGTATATGTATATGGTAACTATTGTCAAAGAGATTTTTTAATAACTTAAGAATTCACATGATAGCCTCCCAATGCTTCCATTTTGGAGATTGCATGAGCTGAATAACAAAGAAAATACCGAGTAACAATCACATAAATCCACCTTTTGAATAATCTTTGATATTAAGATGGATCATCAAAGAGATTTCCATAATTAAAAGCGGTCTAAGTCTCCCTAGGTGAATCAATTGCTTGCATTGAATATGATCAAATTCTTCAAGAAGGTCAATAGTGTATCTCCTCTAATAAGACATTGATATCCTTTTCCTCCAAGAACATAGTTTGGCTATCCCAAATCTTCGAGAAAAAAATATGATTGCAAATAGTGACTTTTCTTCAGAGATATTATGACAACATCAAGTAAGATGCCAATATAAACAAAGTATGACAGAACCTAAGTATGTATGTCTGACAAAGAAAGAATGATCTATTCTGCTATTGTAAAGAATAATCTCGATTTTACTTGATGTCTGACAAAGATAAATTTAAGGGATAGCCTTCTCTCTATTTTACTTCAAAAAATATGTGATATTTTCATTTGGCTAAAGCTTTCATGCTACTTTGTAGAAATTTTAGTGAAGAGACTATTTTTTTGTAACAAAATCTGCTAATATATGGTAGACATAAAAATAATAATAATAATAAAAAAAAAACGATCATCCAACATTTCCACATAAGAAATAAATAGAATAAAATTAATTATATATCAATTTTTTTGTAACATAATCTGCTAATATATGGTAGACATAAAAAAAATAATAAAAAAAAAAAACGATCATCCAACATTTTCACATAAGAAATAAATAGAATAATATTATATATATATATATATAAAGCACATAATACATAATAACTTTTTAAAAGTCAAAATTTCCACAAAAGTTCTGTGACTATCTTTAGAAAAAGTTGCTACTATCCCAAACAGAGTAAATTGAAACACTTGAGAGCACAAATTAAAATAATCAAAACACAAAAAAGCTAAAATACAAAAGTACAAAACGAAACACAGATAAATATGGTTATGCAAATACATAATGCTAGATGTCCAAGCGATAGACTAGCAAGCACAATATAAAATTATTTACATTAACTCAATAGGATAAGATGATTAGCTTAAGGATCACTCCATGAACATTTCAAAACAACAGTAAAATAAATGCATAATTGAAATAACTAAATCTATAAATAAAATTTAGATAATATAATTTTTATGTGGTTCCATACATAATTAGCGTACAACCATGCCAAATTCAACTATCATAATCTTTAACTCGAGTAGATTGAGAACCTTTTACAAAATCTTGTTTCAAGAGAATATGCACCAACTTCTTGATTCGACAAGAGCCACTAAACCAAGCAAGCTTTTCCACACAACTTCACCGAGTATCACTAAACACAAACCACAAAGGTTACTATTAAAAACTAAGTCAAAATATTTCATGTACTTTGAAAGTGACTTAATGATTATCATCTAACAATCTAATACAAAATCTATTTCAAATACAATAATATACAAAAAAAATACAATTTTATTTTTTTTTCAAAAAATACTACAGAGATTTTAAAAAAAAAAAAGATACTGCCAAATAATTCATGTACTTTGAAAGTGATTTAATGATTATCATCTAACAATCTAATGCAAAATCTATTTCAAATACAATAAAATACAAAAAAATATATAATTTTTTTTTTTCCCAAAAAATACTACAGAGATTTAAAAAAAAAAATACTGCCAAATAATGTGATACTGTTCTAGAGCTCCTAGAAGCAATTTGGCAAGCGAATTTTGTGGGGAGTTAGTAGTAATATAGCAAGAGAAAATATGCTAGGTTGACGACATTTGGAAAAAGATAGGTGTCATCTGGCGGCTGTTCCATCTAAAAACAACAGTTCAATGACGAATTGACGAGGTATGGGCCCGAGGAGGTTCAACCAACTGTCCTAAGCAAGACGATACAACACTCCATAGATCAAATTCATAAAACCAATAAAACTGAAATCCAAACAGTCAAATACACATATAGAAAAATCCACTAATAGAAGTTCCAAATTAGAAACTAGTATTCTTTGCTCCAGAATGCCTGAGAAATTTTCCAAAGCTGTGGTCCACCATTCATATTCGTGATTACATTGCTAAATTAAACTGAAACTTAACAGCCAAATTACTAAATATAGCCTTCCAAAGAGAGCTCAAGACCCTCTCATCTCTGACATTTTGGACCTCCATCAGCAATGAGAACTTAGGAGGTTGATTGTATTTTTGAAAATCTAGAAACTCTCTTATCTGTGCTTGTCATGTGTCCGATATCGGCTTCTCAAACTCATAGGGACAACTAATGATAGTCCTACTGATGCACCTTTTAATGCTTCCAAAAAGATAACTTATGCCACAATATCTTCAAACTCTGTAAGAATTCCTGTCACATTGGACGCACTACATTCTAGAAGAACTAATGTTAATCTTGTTGAAGTCTCTCTCATGGGCCCAACTTAAATTACCAGCATCACTCCCTCGTTGGCTGCAAGATGGTACTCCTCTCCATGCTCCTCTGAGTCTTCACCTTCTACCTCCTCCATTACACCATGTTCGGTGAAATATATCATTCTTCTGTTTAGGACGCAAATTTCCCAAAGCTGTGACACTTGAAGCACTTCCTAGCTTAGACAGACTTAAGAGTACTGACGATCTCTACCTTTTCTCCACTATGTGTGGATTTCTCCTCTGGTGGGGTTAGCCTGGGTAATCCGTTGGATGTACTTTTACTGCCTAATTCTGGGATCCAACTTTGCCTAAACGATGGGATGGTCACCTAATAACTTTATTTCTCCATCTTCAAAGCTAAGGTCTGGACATCGAGTATGGACCAATACGGATGCAATTGCACTACATTCCTAATAAATAATCTCAACCCTCCAATATATCTAGTCACTGTGTGATCCTCTGGTTCCACTAACTCAATTTTCAGCATAAGTTGATCAAATTCATCCATGTAATCCTCCACAGAAGCATCTATCTAGCACAGAGTGTGGAGTTTTATGAAAGTCGTGTCAGTAATATGGGAAAAAATAGTTTTGTTACATCTCACTTTTCATCTTTTACAACACAGTGATCTTACTCATCCCTTCTTACTGTTGAATACGCTTCAGAATCTCCCACTACAATGAAGAACTTTTCTTGAATTTGATGGCTACCAATTTAACTATCTTGTCCTAAGGAATATCCTTGTACTCAAATATTCACATCAATGTTTGAAACCACTCAATAAACTCATTTGGAGCCATGTGACAATTAAAATTCGATAAATCCACCTTTACTCCAAGATTCTGGATTATTCTCTCATGTAACATGTTGAATCGTCAAGATAGTGGTTCTTCATCATTGAAATGCTTGGTTGAAGGGATTCATTTTCACCTCTTCATCTAACGAGTCACTGTTGTGGCTATGCAGACCTCACTGGATTGTCTCCTTTCAAATACAACAAGTCTCCATTACAATTGAAGGATTTCCCATTGTATATTCTCCACAAGTTCCCGGTCATCCTGTTAAAGGCATGGCATCCTATCTTCCCGATCAGGTTTCGAGCAGATGAAGGATTGCAAAACAAGGTTGGTCATGTGCTTAGATTTTGGTGATAGATGTCGAGTTGAAATTTTGATGAATCTATAAATATTAAATTTTGAAAATTTTGGGTAGGGGTAGGAATTGCGATAAGACTAATTGGGAATAATGAAAATATTTTTAGAATTTTGGATTGGGAGAAAGAAGACAAAACCCTAAAAAATCTAGAACTTTTTACGCTCTGATACCAGATGATACTGTTCTAAAACTCTTAAATGATATTTGGGGATTGTGCTTTGCGGAGAGGTTGTTGTGCAATAGCGAGGGAACAAAAATATATAAAACCAACAGCATTTGCAAAGGGATAGGTGTCGTTCGACAGTTGTCCAGGCTAAAAATAGTAGTCCAACGGCGAATTGGCTAGGTACGGGCAGCAAGAAAGTTCCACCACCTATTCCTTAAGTAAGATACATACATCACTAGCAAAAGGAAATAAATATAATACTCCTTAAGAGTAAATTCCAGGTGATACCATTCGAAGGCTCAAAAGGTATTTGATACATAGATTTTGAGAGGAGACGATTGTTGAATATCAAGACAATGGAAATATATGAAGTTGACGATGTTTGGAAGAGGATATGTGTTGTTCAGCAACTGTCTTGGCTGAAAACAACGATCCAATGGAAAATCGGGAGGTACGGGCGGAGATGAGGTTCCACCAAATGTTCGTAAGCAAGATACATATATACCACTTGAAAAAGAAAGATAATGCAACACTCAATACAACAAAATTCAGAGAAACATATTTTAAATTCATAAAACCAACAAAACTGAAATCCAATCAGTCCAACACACAAAAAATTCCATAACATAAAATACTTAATTAAAAACTACATAAAAAATAAAGAACTCGAAACTAAAGAAGGATAAAAGAAAACTTGTTGAAACATAGAAAGGAAATTAAAAAAAAAACTTCGTTCAAATCTGTTCTCCTACGATTAAGGAACCGCGGGTCGCTAAATCTGGACACCGTAGAAACCTCGTGACGGGACTCACTAAAATCCCGCAACAGGATCGTGGCATGCTTGTGGATGGTGTCGCGTCATAATGCCTTCACGGCATTGTGGTTGAAATAAATACTTTGTTTTCTTCGGTTTCTTCATAGAAGATGAAGCAAATAATCCCTTTGAAAATAATTTTCACCAACCTAAACCAGCTCAAAGCATCCCATATAAATCGGAAAAATGTTCTCTCAAATAAAAAAAATAAAATAAAATAGTTCCCAACATGTCAAAAATAGCCACAATAGCTAGTTTGACTGTCCATTAGTGCCCCTTGCCCGCTATGAAGCTATCACAAGTTAGGACTCCTATATGCACAAAATGAAGTTTTTTCGAACTTCTAAGCAAATGATTATTAATTATAATAATTGATATAAATAATAGACACCGAAAAAAAAAAAGAGAAAAATATAAAGTAAATTAAAAAAGTACTTGAAAATGATAGATAAATCTAAAATAAAATAAAATACATAATTTAATCTAATTTTAGTCAAACTCTAAATTAACTTAGTCTGTTTTCATCATATCCTTCAGACTTTTAGTGAATCTACTCCATCAATTAATATCGAAAACCTCTAGAAGTTACTAATAGACCACATCGAGCCTGAACTACATCGATACCAAATGCTAGCATCAAGTTAGCATCATTGTTCTTATTGAATTACATCGAGCCTGAATCTACTCCATCGAGCCTGAATTACATCTTGTATCATTGATCTTATTGAATTCATCCACTTCAACTGATCTCCATATTGCAAGTGCTCCAAGTTAGTCTAATGATACGATCCTCATCTTCATAATTGTTGACTACTGATTGTCAAGAAAGAACATACTTGGCAAATCATTAGACAACACCATACAATGATTGCTATCATCAAGCATTAATGAGCTGCAAATAAATTTCCTAGGAGCATGAGATAATGAAAGCAAGCGAGCGAGCACAATAAGTGTGAGGATCATGAGAACAATGACAAGAAGCAACCAAGCACAAAAGCGCACGAGCAAGTGCATTGAGCATGGATTCAACCAACCAAACATAGTGTGTGGATGAGTGCAATGTACACAATCGGGAGGTAGGTTAAGTGACGAGATCAGGAGCTCTGCAACTGAAGGGTTAAGGATCAAGAGAAGAAAGATAGGATGGTGAATAGTGTCGGAAGGGAAGAGCTAACAAGTCTAGTACCATGTAAGAGAAAAAAATTTTCATGTGATAGTGTCATATTCAACAGAGATACATCCTATTTATAATATAGGGATGAATACAATATCCCACTATGCGCCCAAAATACCAAACACTAGCATCCAAATATAGGAAACCTTCCTATTTAGCATATTCCTACCAAAATAGAAACATTCACGGAAGCGATATTCAATAAAAAAAATAAAATATTCATCATTATTTTAGCTATGATTTAAATGATAAACGAAATTGTAGAAATATTAAAGACTATATTTCATTGTACCTTATATACTAAAAAGACAAACACAAGCCACTAGCATTACAATGTCATGCAGCAACTCTGCACCTTTCAAAGCACATCCACGTGAGCCCAACACCAAGTCTACCTATTAGTCCACTAAAGCCTTGTAATACTGCCCATTATTATCAATCTCAATTTGTATCCCTGCCACCTTCATTACTTAATTAAGTGCATTGCACATAAAGTTTTGCTTTGAAGTTCCTTAAATGCTTATGTTGGCACAGTTCGTTGGCAGTTGATTTCTAAAGAACACGGTTACATCTCACATGTTAATGTAATATATCCAAATGCAAATTTAAGGCACAATGATATAAAGCACCAAATGGTTTTTTAACAGTGAATCATCAAAACATATGGAAGAAACACTAAGAACGGAAGATTTAGAGCAAGCAAGCTTCAAAAAATCACATAAATTTCATCAAGCTATATAATCCAATAGAATTACTACCCTATAGGTTTTCCAATGGAAGTATTCTGCAAATAAAAGAAAAACAATTAATCTCCCATACAAAAGTCGTGCTAAGAGTCAAGAGTTTTCTAGCTATCATTTATTGGCAAAAACTTGGGGATGGAACAGCAAGATGAAGCTTTCAAAGATTCATATCAAAAAGAAATATGTGGTGACCTACATACTGGCTCAAGATACCAACAAAAAAAGTTACGAAAAAAGTCTTACATACATAGTGGACTCTGAAATCCTAAGGAAGTATCTCTCAAAAAAACTACAAGCAGAGCTTGACCATGCAGGACAAGATGACGAGATGAAGAAGAAGAATGATGATTTAAGGCATTAAATATTTATTAAGATTTATAGAGTTACTGGAGTTTTTGGAGTAGTTGGCAAACAATTTTGCTTTAAATATAATTCTAAGAATAAGAGGATTTGTGACTAGCTCTAGAACTAACAACAAATAATAAAAGAATTTTCAATTATAACTGGGGTTCACATCAAGAATTAGCACATGTATCTTTTTGTATTGGTCATAGAGATGCCTATAAAATATTATTCAAGGTGAGATATATTTAAATGTTGATTAATCATTACCATTTGAACGAATTCATTAGTAATATCAGAAAGTCAATCCCAAAATTTAGGATGCAACTGATGAAGGTAATGATAACAACCTTAATTTGCCAGAATTTTTCACAAGTAATTGAATGGTTAGAGCAACTGCCAAAATTTTTAGAAATAAATTAAGGGACTTGGAATTAGTAGATAGGGAGAAAACTCAGTTCATTTTCCTTTCATTCCATGGTTTGACAAAATGCGAGCCATGTCATATATTCCTAAACAAAAAATTTTCCTATTAACCAATACATAATTAATGGACAAGCGATACTGCATGTAAGAAAAAAAATGCGAGGAACTATATCAAATAAAGCAATCAATAACATTTTGTGTTAAACAAACAGCAGATACGATTCTTAAAATGAAGCAATTCTTTACCCTAATTATATTAATAAAGCTATTAATTTAGTTGTAAGCCTGAGAAAAATAAAGAAATAATAAAAAATTATCAATTTGTAGTTTTTCCGACTACCCAATAATCTTAAGTTGTAACAAATTGACTCATTCGCATAAGAAATACAAAAAAAAAAGATAACTTCAGCTTTATCTGATCATGCTATTTCAAAATGTCATCAGCTTTCATATTAGAATCATCGTGGCTTTTTTTAATCTTTTCTAACCACAAACTTCCTACTTTCAAACAATTTTTTCCGATCAACTATCATTCACCTTTGATGCATATGAATTGAATTGCTTCAAGAAGATAATAGCCAGTAGTATGAAAAGGTGAAAAGCAATGGCAGAACAGGATCTTGTTAAGCATAATAGTACCTGGACTACATAAATAACAGTGTTAATGGAGATGTAGACAATCCTCAGTTTATCTGTTGGAAGACTTCGTGCCTGTTAAAAATAAAAATAGTTAACAGCAAATGTTAGAAGGTATAAAAATTCAAACTGCTCGGCATATCTATCAATTTATGGCGCAAACAAAGAGGAGCTGCTTCAGACTTTCCTGATGATAGATCTCTGCCCAGAAAAGGACAAGCAAGGTGTACGTAGAAAAGAACAACAATCCAGGAAGGTCCAATAATGCAAAGGTAAACACCTGTTCCAAGCAAAAGGAATAACTTATCAAATATAAACACATAAAAAGGTAACAATCATATTCCATTAGTGTTTAAGATTTTGCAAATAGTCTAGTCCTAAAAGGGCAAAAACTTTAATTCCTTTGTATGAAAAAGCCCATTTCGGCCTTATCAGGTGAAACCAAAAATGTTTGTGGACGGTTCCTACCAGAACCGATTGGATACAGGCATTTTAAATCAGTTACGGGTGAAAACTAAAGCCACCAATTAAGCATCTGGGTTGTTACTAATGATAGAGAGACGTTGTATTTAGTTCACACTTGCACACAATAAGAATGAGGTAAAATGAGAATAAAGCATATCAAAAATCAAGAGAAAAAAAATTAATAAAAAGTATATCACTAAGAAAGAGACCTCAAAGCTTTTGAATAGTAGACATAATAGAAATGAATGAGCATGAGCTAATGGTAAAATGCATTGCAGGTGGGCTAAAACCACATTTGATAGGCTCATTTATTTATAATTTAACTGGTTCAATCCAGAACGCCCCACCCTGCAACCCCCAACCACCAACCCCTCCCCTCCCCTCCAAGGTCATCTAAAATGAAGTAGGATAAAAAGACATTTTGTAATATTGAAGCTGAAGTTGCACAGCTTTCGCTAAAATAAGAACATCATCAACACTAAGTCTACCAATATTAATAAATGTTTTTGCATAGAATGAATACTATCCGACGAAGAAATCAACACAATTTTCCACATAACTTAGGGTAAAGCATATTTTTTCTTCAATAATCAAAAACACTCGACACAAATACATAAGCACAAACGATTCGAGAGGTAGGCGAACTCTCCCAAATCCTACAAAGTCTCTCCTAAACCCTAAACCTAAGACTCACAACAATAATCTCATGTGACCTATTAGGGTCTACTTATACTAAACGATAATAAATAAGAAATGACTACATTGCCCTTCAACATATAAAAAACAAAATTGCTCTTAGCCTAGGCATTAGAATAACAACACTCCCCCCACTCCCAGCCCAAAATATACCTTGTCCTCAAGATAAATTGCACGGTTTGGTCACTCGGATCGCAACTACAGTAAGTTGAACGGTCATGCTTCTTGGATCGATTAGAACTTTCACCAGTCGTGACCTCGACCAATTAGCTCTAAGGGTGACTATATCACTTGGATGGAGCGGAAGGGTGAGAAAGAAGTAAAATTTTGGGTCTTTGTAAGCCATGATCCCGACGTTTGCCTTTTCCGCGAAGTTCAGTAACCGTGATGCCATCATTGCCTTCTCCGTAGAGAAAAAAGAAAGTTTGGGATCTCTGTAAGTTGCGATCCCATCGTTGCATTCTCTGCAAGCTCTAATTACAAGATTATGAAGTTTCGGGTCTATGAACGTCGAACCCGAAAACAACATCTCAAGCACGATGATCCGTTGCTTCATGTACGCATGCCAATCCATTGCTTCTTGTATACGTGCCAATCTCTTGCTTCTTGTATGCATGCCAATCCCTTCGTTGGCTTCTGTAGGCTCAATCACGACTATAGTGTCGTTGCTGTTGCAGGAAGTTTGGTAGTTCAGTCACAAGGTCCAATTACAAGGTTAGTAGGCCTCGGTTCCATGTCGCGGTCCAGATGTTCTTGTCATAATTGAACGCACTAATACCATTTGATACAAATTTATTGTAAAAATCTTTCCAAACAAGGTAAAACAGATTTTTTTCTTCAATAATCTAAAGCAATCAATATGAATACACAAGATAAGCACCTATAATTCGAGAGGTCAGCGATTTCTTTCAAATCCTACAATTTGAGAGGTAGGAAGTCCCTCCCAAACCCTAAACCCTAAACTCACAACAATAATCTCATGCATACCTAACCCTAAACCTATTAGTCTATTGCATACCTAACCCTACCTAAACCTATTAGTCTATTTATCCTAAACAAGGATAGACTCACCACACACCACTCCTACTAAAAACTTCAAAGAAAAGAAGCTAAACTTCATTCCACTAGCACTAAATAAGAGAGGGTCATAAAAATGGTAAAATTTACCTCAACCTTGAGAATAATTAGCCATTCACATGTCAAAACAAAGCACTCAAGCAGCTATTTAGAGTGGCAAATTGCATGAAGTATCGTAAAGTGTGAGAACCAATGTTTAAAAATACACTTCGAAGTAAGCTTAACGTGCAAAGCGAAGCAAAGCGCATGACGCCCGCTTCCCTTCACTGAAGCCCGCCCTGAAGTGTTGAAACAAAGCAATTAGTCCAGTTTACATTTTAGCGAGAGTGAACAAAATGTTACCGAATTCATTTAGCTTGTTTTATAAAACTTTAGACTTTATTAATTTATTTATACTTTAGAATACATATTTTATTTAAAGTTATAAGATTTTTTTAAAGTAATTTTTAAATTTTTAATTATTGCAACAGACTATTAGAAATTACATGAAATTTTAATTTGTAGATTCATAATCAATGTTTTCTTTCAAATTAGGCATTGCTTCACACATTTTTTTCTATTTTACATCAACGTTTAAGCCATACTTTATATTTTATAAGTGCTAATGAAGTTATTTATACATTAATAGTTTTATTTAATCTGTTAGCGCTTTAGTTAATAAAAGCGTCACTTTGATTAGTGTTTTCTACTTTGAAGCAAAAAATAAAACACTGTGCATCACATTGCATTTTCATAGCACAGGTGAAAACTAGGAATATAACAAAACAACACCAATTACATCTGAATAGAGTTGAGCAGATCCATTAGGAGATCCCTCTGGACCAGTAAGAGTGACCTATTTTCAATACACATACCTAAGTTGAACATCAAAGAATTTGTCCTGACATAATCCCCAATGAAGGCTACATAAACTTCTTATTGATCGCATGATTTGACCAGAAGAAGTGGACTACACAAATCTAGTCGCCTGCCAACCATTGCTAAGAATTCTATAGTTATATGTTGTGCAAGGTGTTTGGTAAGGCAAAAAAACCAAAAAATCCACCACACCCCAACCCACCAAAAAAAAAAATTTTCTGAAAAATAGCATTATATTTCTTGTTTTCGCAAATTAAACTAAGAGCAGATTCTTTCACATATAAGAAATTATAAGTTCAACAATCCTGGTAATTAAGAAGTTTGATCTAACAATAACACCTTAACTTCGAAGCATTATTTTCAGCAATGAAAATTTTGGAAAGGAGAGCAATAAATAAGATTCAACTGAACAGCATAATAGCATGGCAATAAGGCCACATCTCATTCAGCGCATGTGATGTAGCACATCATCAAAATGAAGTCAAAGGTCCACTCACAAGAGCCTAAGCAAGTGCCCAATTAAAAGGCCATTCAAGGCGCATCACAAGTCATATCAAGCAGAAATATTTAAATTTGTATTTTATTATTTATATTTCAATTTCAATGTCTAGAATATTAAATTTTCAAATTTGGAGGGTTTTATGGCTGCTCATTAAAAAATTAAAATAATAAATTAGGAAGGTTGATGGCCACTTACCACCCTTCAAAAGTTCCTCCTTTTATTGATTTTTTATCATTGTAATCCTTACAAATAAGGTTGATATGTAATGCTTTGAATCAATTGTTGAATGAAATATATGAGTGAGAATTTTCTCTCCTGTTGCTTGTTGCTTGTTGCTTGGTGCTTGGTGCTTTCAAATGTTGTCATTTCTTTTGTGACAATAGGTATTTATCTTTGCTTTTCTTTTATGATATTCATTAATCTCTTAAACTCTTCACCACTCTTCATCCACTTCCTAAGCTTCTTATAATATCAACAAACTCGGCCGAGAAATATATATTAAAACCTAGTCTTGTTCCCTAACCCCAAACACAATTGTAAACCCATCAAAACCCACCCATCTACTCTAGGTCACAAGTATACATCCTAAGCTAACCATCAATAATCGTTTCTATTCAAGCCACTTTTCCAAAGGGGTAATTCCAATCAGCCCAAACAATCCTAATCCAAGCAAGTCTTGGTATTTTAGCCACCATTCCCTCATAAATCTTCTAACATTCCACCAAAACCTCCACATCACATCTTTAGACTTAAAACCAAACACCCATAGTAAATTTTAATATTTATCTCATCAAAAAGGTCACCCACCTCCATCATATTTGATATCAGAGCGAATCTGGGAAGGAGCTGATTTGGGTAGAGCTTTTGGACATCTAAGAAGAAATACTTTGTTGTGGACTTGTCTCTACAAGCTTATGAGTTACTTAAAAAAACGTTGAGTTTAGTGAATTTCTTCTAATGATAGATTTTTTTTCTTTTAATAGCTTGGATATCTAATATATTTCTTGCAAAATTATGATGTAAGCACGAAGTTTAATTAGCAAACTCCACTATGAAGCCTGACTTACATCCCTTGTGTGAACCTATACCTAAACTTTTTTTTCTTGAGTGAAAACATTGTTAAGGGCGTGTTCCACTTAAAGAAAATACAAATTTACCAATGATATGATCAAAATATTAAGTTTTTTGCTTGATTTTTTATGTTAACTTTTTATGATAAACTAGTTGCACATTATGTCAAAACTTGAAAAAATTTGCCATCTTAAGGACTTGAGGTTAGTAGATCATAGAAAATTGCATTTAAAATCTCTTTTATAAGAGCATGTATAAAAGTTAGTGTATTTGAGCTAAAAAGAACTTTCTCAAAAATGTTTAAACAGCTTAAGGATAGCTTATGACGTAAATGGTCTTTGTAACCCCCTCCTCACCTGAAATTTCTTGTAGCTAAAGATTTACTTTACTTTTGCATATATATTTTATTTCTCTCTCTCATCTATAGTCTTTTCACTTTCATCTCTCTTCACAAGGAAAAAAAAAAAGAAACATCATGGCACCTAAATTAGTTTCCCAAGCTCAAATTGAAATTTTAACTTAAATGGTTGATTCTTTAGATCTTAGGATTCATAAAAATGATACTAAGAATAAAAAATTATTTGAAGACACTAAAGAACAAATGCAAGATT